GGTCCTCCTCGAGTCCCCGAACTCAGAGGGGCGCCAGAACGCCAACCTGCTCCATCTGATACGTTAGTGGCCGGAGCGGCGCCCTGCTCCCGGGAGTCCAGCCCTGTCTCTACCCGGTTGTCCGTCCAGAGATGGAGCCGGCCCCTGCACACCGCCCACTCTCCCCTTCCACATCGCCTCTGTCTGTGTCCAGACAGGAGGGAGGGTCCGAGTCCCCCTTGCTCCTCACGGCTGTCCTGTACACTGAATGCCACTGTGTGTACAGACCTTCTGTGATGAGCTTTTCGCTGAGCCGCCATCTTCTCAACTATGTTTCACTGTCAGCCAATCCTGAGGGGCTGTCACGTGGCTCACGGTTCCGCCCTGGATTCTGGGAGACTTTACCATCCTCAGGGCCAGCCTGGCATCCAGTTCCTTGACGTGCTCATCTCCAAGGCCTGCCCCGCACCTCAGCCAGGCACCTTCAGGGTCCCACAACTTATCCACCCGAAATTTTAAATCCCAACTGTCCCCTCTCCAAACAGACCCGCTTTTCTGCCTTGCTCTCACCGTCATTTTTCAGCGTTAGGGAGCGTTCCAGTCCCTTTGACCGATTCATTTTCTCCCTGGTGAATACATGGTGGGTCCCCAATCCCTGGACCCCAACCATCTGAGGCTCTGCAAAGATCAAACCCACAAACCACTGGCCAGCAATTGTTCTGTATGTTCCCAAACCCTTGCCCTTCCCCATCTCATATTCCCACTCTTCTTTTTCATGGAGAAAGATACAGCCATCAAGTGGGATACCCTCCACCTTCTCCCTCCCTCCCTCATCTTTGTCTTCCCCGCTCACTCTTAAGTCCCCCCCCTTCAGAGGAAGAAATGTCCTTCTTGCTGCCCAAGATAAGCTTCCTGCTTCCGGGCCCAGGCCAAACACCTTTGCAAAATGTCTCTTGTTATCCCCAAGATAGACTTGTTTGTCAATGCTCCCACCTTCATTGAAGCAATAAGTCCCTACTATGTGCTAAACCCAATGTGAGGGACACTAGGCCAACACAGCCCACCAGTCTGCAAGGGGCCCACAGCTGACCACTATAATGGGACTAGATCAGCGGTTCTCAACCTGTGGGGTCGCGACCCCTTTGGGGGTTGAACGACCCTTTCACAGGGGTCGCCTAAGACCATCGGAAAACGTATATAATTACATATTGTTTTTGTGATTAATCACTATGCTTTAATTATGTTCAATTTGTTTTTTTTTTAATATATTTTATTGATTTTTTACAGAGAGGAAGGGAGAGGGATAGAGAGCCAGAAACATCCATGAGAGAGAAACATGGATCAGCTGCCTCCTGCACGCCCCCCACTGGGGATGTGCCCGCAACCAAGGTACATGCCCCTGACCGGAATCGAACCTGGGACCCTTCAGTCCACAGGCCAAAGCTCTATCCACTGAGCTAAACCGGTTCTGGCAATGTTCAATTTGTAACAATGAAATTGGGGGTCACCACAACATGAGGAACTGTATTAAAGGGTCGCGGCGTTAGGAAGGTTGAGAACCACTGGACTACATAATATGATTACAGCTTTTCCCTGCCCACCCACTGAAGGATTTTGCCTACTTGGTTTTTCCCCTCCCCACCATCTGAGAAGCATCCTTCCATGCCAATTCAGTTCTTTGGGGCTTTTATCATGGAGAATCTGAGACAGGAAGGATTCACACACACACACACACACACACACACACACACACACACACACACACACTAGAGCTGGGTAGGAAGGAGGAGGAGAAGGGAAGGACCAGGAACAAGGAGTGTTGGGATAGGGGTGCTGAAGAGAGGGCACAGGGATACCTGTAGTGTGAAAAGGATGTGGGATGGGGAAGAAAAGAGGAATTTTAAAAGTACAGGTGTGGTCTGGGTATCGGCCCCTTTTGTGGTGTTTGAGAATTGTACGTACTTGAGTTATTCTGCTATTACTCAGGATTGCTAGACCGTGTGTTCTGAATGCAAACCACTCTAAGTCTGGCCAGCAACGGCTCCTTTCTTTCTTTCTTTTAAATATATTTTTATTGCTTTCAGAGAGAGGCAGGGAGAGGGAGAGAGAGATAGAAACATCAATGATGAGAATTATTGATCTGCCTCCTGCACGCCCCCTACTGGGGATTGAGCCCACAACCCGGGCATGTGCCTGACCGGGAATCGAACAGTTACCTCCTGGTTCATGGGTCGATGCTCAACCACTGAGCCATGCTGGCCGGGCAATAATCATGACATATTGGTTGGAAAACAGGTTGCAGAATGGGGTGGTCAGTAAGCCTATAGGAGCTTGGGGGCAGGAGGACATGCAAATATAAATTCATGGAGAAAAAGATTGAATTTTGGTGGAGGATACATGAGCATTTCTTATGTTATTCTTATATATTATATTTTGGTACTTACAAATGTTTTTACTGTAAACCATATATTCAAAAGAGGTTATGTGTTTTAGTTTGCTAGGGCTGCCATAACAAAGTGCTGTACCACAAACTGAGTGACCTAAACAGCAGGACTGTCCTGTCTTCCAGGTCTGGAAGCTAAAAGTCTGAGATCACGGTGCCAGCAGGCCTCTGCTCCCGCTGTAGGCGCTGGGGAAGCATCTGTTCCAGGCCTCTCTCCTGGCTTCTAGTAGCTTCGTGGCAGCAGAACTTTCAGTCTACACATTGTATTGTCCCTGTGTGCATGTCTGAGTGCAAATCTCCTTTTTCTTTTTTTATTTATTGATTTTGAGAGAGAGCGAGAGCGAGAGAAACATCGATTTATTGTTCCACTTATAGCCAGAATCATTAGTTGATTCTTGTATGTGCCCTGACCGGAGATGGCACCCACTACCTTAGTGCAGTGGTCGGCAAACTGCGGCTCGCGAGCCACATACGGCTCTTTGGCCCCTTGAGTGTGGCTCTTGCACAAAATACCGACTTCTGCGCATCGGCCACGAAGTTTCAATCGCACTGTACATGCGTGCCCGCACATGGTATTTTGTGGAAGAGCCACACTCAAGGGGCTAAAGAAGCCGCATGTGGCTTGCGAGCCGCAGTTAGCCGACCACTACCTTAGCGCATGGGAACAATGCTCTAACCAAACGAGCTACCCGGCCAGCGCCAAATTTCCCCTTTTTATAAGGACAGCAGTTATCCTGGATTAGGGACCCACGATATTCCAATATGACCTCATCTTACCTACTTTCATGTATAATGACCCTGTTTCCAAATAAGGTCACATTCTGAGGTTCTGGGGTTGGGACTTGAACATTGTAACTGTGGGGACACAATTCAGCCCATAGCGCCATGCAGGTACTCAGTTTGATGATGTGTAATAAACAGCCTGGCCAGTGCTGTTCCGTGGCTGAGCACTGACCCATGCACCCGCAGGTGGCTGGTCGATTCCCAGTCTGGGCACATGCTGCGGGTTTCTGGCTCCATCCCCAGGAGGGGGCATGCAGGAGGGGAGATAAAGAAATGAACATTTTTAAAACCAAAAGACACTATCTCAAAATGCTCACACTGGCAATTTGTTTTTCTCATTCTGTTTATTTATTTTTACTTATTCTTAAAATAAATAAAAATAAATTTTTTTTTATTGGTTTCAGAGAGGAAGAGAGAGAAACATCAGTGATGAGAAGCACTGATCTGATCAGCTGCTTCCTGCATGCCCCCCACTGGAGACCGAGTCCGCAACCTGGGCCTGTGCCCTGGCCTTGGTTCCTAGGTTGGTGCTCAGCCACTGAGCCACACCAGCCGGGCCTCAGTGTGTTTTTTTAAACTTCAACAATGAATGAGAAGCAAAGGAGGCGCTCACCTCCAGCTCTGAGCCCAGCCCTTGTGCAGCTCACAGCCCCTGAGCCCTCCCTCCCACTCCAGCCTTTCCATTCGCCCAGGGGCCTGATTACCAGTTCTTTCCATCCAGGAGCATCTCCTCCAGGGACCTGATGCAACGGCCAAGCCTCGCCCTGGGAGAGGGGTCTGCTCCCGGATGGTCTGGCTTTTTCTCCCGGTGACTTGAGAGTCTCAGGTCCCGGGTGCAGCTGGAAGGGAACATTCCCGTGGGCCCCACTCAGGTTGGCTCCTCTTGGGCTCTGGCTCACGGCGCCCTGGCCCTGCCTCTGAGGTTGGGAGGGTGCTGGGCTCAGCTGAGAGTCCTGGTTCTCCCATCACCCAAGGCAGGGTTTTCTCAGCTGTGGTCCTTGCACCACCACCAGCAGCAGGACCAAGGAACTTGTTAGAAATTCAAATTCTTGGACACGACCCCCCCCCCACCACCACCTACTGAGTCAAACTCTGGGGGTGGGGCCCAGCAATCTGTGTTTTAATAAGTTCTCCAGTTTGAGAACTACTTCCCCAACCATCGGGGGCATCCTGGGGGCAAATCTTGTGCCCCTTCATTTTACAGAAAGGACAGGGCCTGGCTCGAGTGGCACAGACGGTTAAGTGGCATTACGGAGGCACTAGGAGCTAGGCCATCGGTTTCCAGAACCCCCGCTCTCTGTTCTGGCTCAGGCAGATTAGAAGCTATAGTATCAGTATTAGGGAAGATATGAAAGCTCCGTTTTGTATAAAACTTCCACATTAGCCCTAGTTGGTTCGGCTCAGTGGATAGAGCATCGGCCTGTGGGCCGAAAGGTCCTGGGTTCGATTCCGCTCAAGGGCACATGTACCTCGGTTGCTGGCTCCTCCCCAGCCCAGGCCCTGGTCAGGGCGCGTGCAGGAGGCAACCAATCAATGTGTTGCTCTCACATCGATATTCTGTCTTTCCCTCTCCCACGCTCTCTGAAAATCAATGGAAAAATATCCTCAGGTGAGGCTTAAATAAATAAATAAAACATGATGCTGG